ACTCTAGTACTTTAGTATACCTTTGCCTTTTTATCTACCTTTTTACCAAATTTTCAATTCAGATAGTCTGTGTAGAACTATAATCAGTCTATTAGTATATCAGATTAGTCTGATATTCTTTTTCTCTGGTTCATTCTGGTACCTAGTTGGTGGTATTTCTAAGACTCTCAACTCAAAAGTTCTTGCCCATCTGGCTACTATGACTGTGTACTACAACCTCAATATCTATTTTTCTAAACTAATCTTTATAGTAGGTTATTAAAGATTTGGTTATCTCTTTATTTGAGTCTTCCAAAATAGACTTCTTGTTACTCAATTTCAATGGATTTATATGAACACAAAAACTTATCTAGTATTTGTATTACCTGATTTGTTAGTTTGCATTCCTCTGAATAATGTTATACTTATATAAATGTCCTATAACCTGTCAGTTCTACTAGTGTAACTATTATTACAAGTATCCTAACCTAATCATTAGTAACAGCTATTGTTATATAAATATTATATAAAAGATTATTTATTAATAGGATTTGAACATCCAACCTACTACTTGAAGGGTTGACAACCTAATCACTTCACTAGTTGCCACATCCCTTTTCAAATTTTTTTTTGAATCAAAATCTTTACAAATGATATTATTAAAAGTTATATTATCTTTTTATTTAAAATTTTAAAAAAAATTTTTTTTTATTTGAATATATATTTTTTAGATTTCTTTATATAATATTATATAATTCAAAAGTTAATCATAGTTTAATTAGAATTATAAAATTATAAATCTCAAATTGTAGATAAATTGCTAAAATAAAACTAATTTTCTAAAATTCTGTCATTAATAATATTTGAACTTTGAACTTATTATTTAAAAAATAATAATTTAAATATTATACTAAAATTATTATTTTTTATAAAAATATGTACTTAAACTTTTTTTAAGAATATTAAAAAAAATTATAACTAATTTGATAAGTTTAGTATATATTATTAAATTAGATTAATAATAAATTGTAATTTAATGTTTTTTTTTAAATATTAACGGTGAGGCCATTGTAATTTAATGTTAATTATTTATCTAATTAGTAAATAGAAACTAATTTTAAATATATATTATATTTTAGTTATTTTTTTAATAATTATTAAAAATAATACTAAAATTAATTAAAGTTAAAAATTTGAGAATCTCTATTTAAGTCTAAAAAATCTATTAAAATCTATTTCTATTTTTTTATTATAAATTCTATTCATAAAATTGATCCTTAATTTTTTAAAAAAATTAAAAAAATATATTATAAATTTTTAAAATTTTATAATAAATAAGACATATATTTAACTTTAGTTAATTTCAACTTCAACTACTACAATATTTTTTTGAATATAAATTATACAAATATTTAAAAAAATTAAATAATTGATATAATATATTTGTTTATAATTTGTGATTATTTTATATCTTTTTAGTAATAAAGAAATTTAATAACTAATCAAATAATAGATTAAATTTAGATCTTATTGTATAATTATATTTTTATTAAAATTGTTATTAGGGGTGTAGTGACCTAGTGAAGTGGTCAGGTTGTTAACCCCCAAGTTGTAAATTGGGTGTTCAAATCTTATTGATGATAAAAATTTGGATAATTACCTATGTAATATTTATATTATGATAACTGTTACTAATAATTAGGTTAGGATATCTGTAATGATGGTCATATCAGCATGACTGGCAGGTCATAAAACATCTGTGTAAGTATAGTGTTATATAAAAAAATACAAACTGACAAAACAAGTGATGCAAACACTAAATAAGTTCTTGTGACTGTGTAAATCTATTGAAATTGGGTAATGAGAAGTCCATTTAAGAAGACCTAAGTAGAAAGATAATTGGATTTTTGATACTCTACTGTAAAAACAGCCTGTGAAATAGATACCAAGGTTATAGTACCTACTCATAGTAACCAAACAGACAAGAATCTCCAGGTTGGGAGTCTCAGAGGTATTACCAACCAGGCTGCCAAAATGAACTAAAAGCAAAGAATATCAGGTTAACCTAATATACTAATGGACTAGTCGTAATCTTACATGGTCTATCTGGATTGGAAGTTTTGTAAAAAGGCAGGTAAAAAGGCAAGGATATACTAAAGTACTAAAATTATGTTGTGAAATAGATGCTAGGGTCTAAGTAAATTCTACAAAGGCATAGCAGTTTAATGGTCAGCTCTGACTGCAAGTGTTGGTTCTATCATAACTATATTTAGATCAACTATAAAAATGAATACAAAAGAATTTATAGGGTTTATCTCAAGAATAAATTAATCCTAAGATTAAGATGATGATCTGAACATCTGAGTATAACCTAGTGAATTAATACAGATTACAGATTTAGAGAGTTTAAAGTAGAACATCCAGGCAAGAGTGTTAGGTATGACAATTGGTAGAAAAACTTTGGACAGACTCCTTAAATAGGTAATATAGAAAAGTTATACATGTAATCAATTGTACTCTCTCCTGTAGTAGTTCATTAAACCACAATACTGATAACTGAATAATAAAAGTCAAAAAACCAAAAAGATCACCTTAATACCAAAAAATAATTAAAATTGTTATTATTATTATTACTGTTTTAATAAATAATTTAATATAAAGATTGTTATTGTTACTATTATAATTATTATTATTAATTATTGTTATGCATATAGAATTGTTATTATTAGACATGTACTTAAATAATATAATAAAAAATATTCAATCTTTGTCAAAAATAATCAAAAATAATACAATATATAATTTGTAATAATGTACAATTATCTTCATATTGAAAATAATAACAATTATTAAAATTTTAATATTTAAAAAATACTATTTACAAAAAAAATGAAAAGAAAAGATCCAGAATTGTGTAAAATATTGCAATCAAAAAATTTTTTTTCTTCATTATTTATTATTGCCATTATATATATGTTGTTAGAGGAAAATCCAGTTAAAGCCATTGCATAATGATCATTAAAAACGTAACTGAAAACATGACTAGAATCACAAGCTGGATCATGACCCAAAAGTAGTGATTATGTAATCTGATTTCTCCCCATTGTATGCAAGAGAAGCTCCAAGATCTGGAACAAGTCATCTACAATTGTAAGCCTGGGCCTCATATGTGGCAATTGTTGCTAAACCTAAAAAGAAAGAAAGACTTAATAGAACCACCATGATGTGCAACATGAAAAAAATGTGATAACTTATTTTCATGAGCTTACAACAGAACCTTCAACCTGCAAAGATGTTTAGGGAGATGCAGCTGTAACTCTATTAGCAGGACCTACGAAAAAGAGAAGGTAATTAAAAGATAGAATCATGAGTCAAAAGGTAAGGATTGTACAATTAACAGAAAAGGAAACATTAATGCAAGAAAGGGAGAATGTTCTCAAGCATACTCTCCTGATAACTCACTATAAAAGCCCTCTGTTTTGATGTTAAGTGGGATATGACCCCCTGGCTAGAGATTTGAACAGGTTGGGCTATAATCGGTTAACTGACCTGAGCCGAATAAATTTCAGGTACCCGGTTAAGTAAATTCTTAATCGGTTGACACGTACAACCGGTTGAGAATCGGTAATCGGGTGGAAGGATCAGGAATGAGCAAGAATTCCGAAAAGGAACATAAAAGACGAGCAAGATGGAGACAAAAATTTGGGTAAAGGTCCGAGACTTTCCGAAGGTAAAATGTGAAGTAATCTTAACCGGTTTCATCGGTTGACATAAAATATTTCGGCTCGGTTAACCGATTAAGAAAATTTTTCTCGGTTCAAATCATTACCCCTGGCCCCCCATACTCCTGTAATCAAAAGGAAATTATTAATAAATTAATAATAAATAAAAACAGTTGTAAATCATTAAAAATGTAAAGAGTGTAATACCAATAAACGTTCTTTTAAAAAGTCCCCATACTTACCCAGTAACTTACTCGAGAGCCGCCTTAGCCATTGCCAAATCGTATCGCCTCATTTTGTTTTCGAGTAACGTTACGCGACGTCGACGATTTTGAAGCGACAATTCGTCGCAGTTGCTCCATCCTAGAATTCGCCCAATTACCCGTGACAATGTATAATAAATCAGCATTTATACTGTAATACGTATGCTCGTACAAATTGGGAAAAATCAAGATATAGCCTACTACACATATTGAAAACTATCCCAGTGGCACGACAGATTTTCACTGATCGACGATTTTTTTAAAGTCATAAAACGGTACATTAGAGTCAGGTTTATAATTATAACGATACTCATAGTTAATAAAATATAGTTATATGATGCATATAAAAAGAAATATCCAGAAAAATTTGACTTGCCGCTTAACCATACACTCCGTTCCTGGTATGGCAAGATGGGCTGAAGATATCCAAAAATAGAATCAATGAAATTGAAATTTACGTAACGTACTTCAAGTATTACCCTTAAATTTAATACAATAATATCAAACCAACACAAAAAAATAAAATAATAAATCTATTGTAAAATTTTTAAATCTAATAACAAATTTGTCCAATAATAATAACAATAATCAGTGTTGTCACCAGAAGACCACTGGAAGGCTACTGGAAATAAGATCAATAGTGTCACTGGAACTTTAAATTCTAGTCACACTACTGATTTTACTTCTAGTGGTCTTCCACTGACAGCATTGGCAATAATCATTGTCAAAAATTTCAGATCTCAAATTCTTGCAATGTACAATTGCAATTATTAATAATCAACTTGCAACTCCTAGACATACATAGAATGGCGTCTATGCATATGCATTTGATATTTTACTTTACGGAATTATATTCCTGATGGCATTAAACGACGTATCGGAAATTGAATTCCGTAGGGTAGATACTATTGTTCTATATGGAAAAGTGATATAAAATAAGAATTTTCTAACACTAGTTATGTAGACTTGTTAAAAGTATAAATTTAACCTGTTGATTTTGACGATTCAAGGAAACTTATCAGTAAATTCGTTAACTATGGCAAATTCAAGTAATATTGACCTTATTAACGCTGCTTTTTCGGCCGTAATGGGAACCCACAAGTTTATATCTGAAAAAGAATTTCAAGATAGACAAGCCCGTGGTGAAACTAATGACGCAATATATAATCAGGTTGACTTGAACTCGTTTCATCAAGTCAATCTTGTTGGCAATGATCCAACTATTGTCAGTAACTTGGGCACTGATTTTAACCGTCGGTGCACATTTGATCAATCTGACTCTTATCTAGGACAAATTTATGTTAAGACGCTCACTGGTAAAACCATAACACTAGTATGTAAAAGAAATGATACTATTGAAGCCATTAAGTTGAAAATTCAAGATAAAGAAGGCATTCCACCGGATCAGCAGAGATTAATTTTTGCTGGAAAGCAATTAGAGGATTTCAAACCGATTTCCGACTACAATATTAAAGAAAATAGTGAACTTCACCTGATTTTACGTCTAAGTGGAGGTGGGTGTATAATTAGTTACTTAAGTGTGAGTGTTTTGGACCCGCGATATGACTACGATTTTACAAATATTAATGATATGGAAGCGACATTTATGCGGGGAGATGTACTATATAAAAGACCATGTGGATGGAAGCGTATCGCTTTAAAGGTTACTGAAAAGTATGATAACGGTAATGATAAATGGCTTGGTACTGATAAAAATGCTTGGCCAGTATCGTATCATGGTACTGCTGAACATAATGCAAAATCAATTGCTGAAGAAGGCTATGATTTAAGCAAAGGAACTAGATTTCTTTATGGACGTGGCATTTATTCAACACCTGATGTGCATATAGCTGAACAATATGCGACAGAATTCGAGTTTGAAGGAAATATATATGTGATGATATTTCAGAATAGAGTAAATCCTGCTAGTTTAAGAAGAATTCCTGTTGGAAATGGCGAGTATTGGGTTTCTGAAAAAGGTGAAGATGTCAGACCATATGGAATTTGTATTAAAAAGAAATGAACGAGTACAGGATATATTGCATATTGCGCAACATTTGTCCTATAATAAAAATTAAACATTGTTAAAAATAATGGCGTATATAGTTTTATTAAATATTAAATGTAAAAAGGTATTTGTAAGGGCGGAAATTGATTATAAATAAAGGCCGAAATGGCCCTTAAGAGAATTAAATCTCGTTTGCTTCATTAAATAATAAGTCACAATATTATACAGCATCCATAATATTATACTATCACTATTACCATTATAAACCCTGTAAACGGCATAAAAATCGTTGTTCGTTTTAAGATCTTGATAACGTGACTCAACATACCGACTATCTTCCCCAGCGCGAAATCTATGGACAGTTCTTAGGGACAGTGTGGACAGTGCATGATCACGTGATATTTTAGGAACAGTAGTCATAAGGTCTGCTGTACCAAAGTAGAAATGAATAGGTATAGACGTATGAATCGTATGAATGGAAATATAATTGCATAAATATGCATAGAGAATAAAAGTAGTCATACCAGGAACGGAGTTTGTACAACGTATACCAGGAACCGAGTACGAAGTACGTAGTGTATGGTTTACAGGCAACTCAAATATGCGTGTACAATTCTCAGCATATGTTTGGGTAATCTGTCATTGTGATTTTATGTAGCACCCCGAACAATACTTTAAAAGGTAGGTACCAGGAATAAATGCCTCTGTACGCAAAATCTTGGAATTTATTGGTCCGCGTGACTTATTGATGATTCAATATTTTTTTAAAAAAACATAAATGAGCGCATACATCTGTAAAATCGAAGATGCTATAACAAACGATAGTAAAAAT